GATCCATGGATTACAAAAAATCCAGAAGAGCCAGAAAAGACAATTGGTGACAGATTTCTTTTCTTTTTTTAAAAAATATTATTATGTATAGATAAAGGTGTAGTTTATTTTTATCAGATAATTTGGAAACTGTAGACAAGCATAAAGTACCAAATAAAAATAACCAATAATCCTACTACTCAGAGGTAATTATTGTTAACATTTGAATGTATTTCCTTCTAATGAAATGAATGCACACACATAGGCAATGCCCTGCTTCTCTGTAAGTGCAATTCTGAAAACATCCTAAAGCTGAATGTACAAAAATTGAACAACAAAATATGTATTATAAGGTAAGTTCTATCCCTGAAAGCTAAAAATGATTATAAGATCCCATTATATTTTGGTTTTTTAGACCCAATATTTGATCATACAGTTCTATCCTTTTGTATAACTTCTTGAATTTTTTCCCCCTCACAATGGAATAGCCACCTACCTGGTCAGTTGAGACCAGAGAATTACATTCTTGTCATGGTTAAGGTTTCCAGTATGGTCTCTATGGTATTAAGTTTGAGACATATGCTTCCTCTCATTTTAGTTTCATCAATAGTTTTATTTCTTACTTACTTTTATAAAATGACATTAGATTAAAAGGCAAGAAAATAATCAAATGTTTGTATAAACACTGCTGTACAGAAAAACCACCCTGTTGGCTGGTGAATTGTTCACACTAAAAATAGGTCAATGGTTATTCATTAACTGATACGTGAAAGTCACACTTCGGCATATGAAAGGCAATTCAGACTGTTGGTACAGAGTGTCAAAGGGTGGGTTATTCAAAAGTTGAAAGTTCTAAAGTCAAAGACTACCTAAATATGTGTGTATATATATTTGGTGGGGGGCAAAATTCGGATCACACTCTGTTTAGGTGCCCCTCCCTGTTTAGTTTTGTAGCCTGTTTTCACTTGGCATTACTTGGTGAGTCTTTTTCCTGGCCATTAAAAGCTTTGAAAATATGCTTTTCTTTAACTGTGTAATATGCCATCACTTAACCATTTCACTTAACCATTTTCCAAATGGTCATTTTCTTTGGAAACCCAATAAAATCCCTTTTAAATGGGAACTTCCTCTGGTACATTTAAAATATTGGGTTACTAAAGTTTCAGAAGCACAACCCTAATGTACTTGTTTCACATGTGAAGCTGGGGGTGCTGGAAATAAAAGCGTTTAGAAAGAAGTTAAAGGCAGCAAGATGTAGTTTTCTTATTAGAGGGTAGAAATGGGTTCTGAAGAATTTTTTCTTTGGCTTTCTATGAGTTGGAATGTTATGCTCCTATTAAAGGACTTCGGGGCTGGCACAGTGGCTCACACTTATAATCCCAACATTTTGGGAGTCTGGGGCAGAAGGATAGCTTGAGGCCAGGAGTTTGAGACCAGCTTGGGCAACATAGCAAGACCCCATCTCTACGAAAAATTTAAAAATTAGCTGTGTGTGGTGGTGTGCACCTGTAGTCCCAGCTATTTGGGAGGCTGAAGCAAGAGGATCACTTGAGTCCAGGATTTCAAGGTTATGGTGAGCTATGATTGTGCCATTGCACGCCAGCCTGGGCTGCAGAGTGAGGCCTCTTCTCTAATAAATAAATAAATAGATGGTACTTCTGGAGTGTTAAGGTCTGTAGATGTGGCTGATTTGATTAATAAGAAGATCATAGTAGCCCCTGCCTTCAACTCCCTAAGGACATATGGGAACCATACTAAATCTTAGAAATGTCTGGACCAGTCCTATGCCTTCTGGGTCCTGCTGGCTTTATACCGTTATGACCCTAAAAGGATAATGGCAATAAAGCAGAACTTCGCTGTCTGTAGCCTCAGTGGATTCAAGTTCTTCTGTAGAATCATAGGTCCTTTGTCTCCTTACATTTAGTGTATCCTGTAATTCTTTCCCCTACAGGGTCAGTACAAGAGGTGGCTCAGCTTCGGCTCCAGCTGCAGCAAGCACAAAAGGCACATGCTATGAGTGAAAACATGAACAAGGCTTTGCATGTGAGTGTCACCACTTGGAAGAGACTCTGTGGGCAACTGAATTGGGCAGTGGTTTTATCACCTTTTTGAATCTTGGGTTTCTTGGTATGAGACAGGTGGTTGGACCATCTTCAAACCAGCTCATGGGAGTTGTTCATGGCTTCACCCACAGAGCTGGGGAGTCAAGCTCAGTTCTGTGTAGCTGCAGAGTCAGAGCCATGCCCCTCCTGCCAGTCTGCCCGCACCTCCTTCACATGGCATATCCCTTCCTCTATGCTGTAATCCAGAGATCAGTTCATCTACAGGTGTGGGGAACATTAAATTTCACTACAATTCTCTCACATCCTCCTCCGGTACTGCTTACAATTTCCACTGGAGGGAGAAGAAAATACTGGAGAAGAGTTCCAGTATTACCTCCACTGATGGAGATATTTTGCTTTTTCACCACTGACAGACTAAAGTACAACACATTCTTGTCAAACCAGTCCACTCTGTCCCCTATCCTAGTAAGCCAAAAAGTGCTTCCGTCAGCATCTCAGCTCAAGGGACACTTTTCATGGAGGACAAAATGTAAGAGAGGGAGGTATGAGAGAAACTACTTATATTTGTTTTCTCATTCATTTATTTGTTTATTCAATTTACCTGAAGACCTGATTCATGGTGGCCTTTATAAAATTATTTATAATGTACCCTAATAATGCATGTGAACAAGTTTTTCTGCCTTATACTGATCATTAAAACAAAAACAAAATCTGAAGTGTAGATGGAATGATTGTTTTCTTCATAGAGGAGAATAATTTTCAATAATTTTGTGTTGTAGGAGGAATTAATTGAACTAAAAGATGAAATTTCTCTCTACGAATCTGCTGCAAAACTAGGAATACTTCCAAGTGACTCCGAAGGAGAAATAAATGTAGAACTCACTGAATCATATGTGGATTTGGGTATTAAAAAAGTCAACTGGAAAAAGTCCAAAGTTAACAGGTATTGAGAAAATAGTTTATTAATTAACTAATTAATGATACCGACAATACATGGTAAACAGGTGGACCCAGGCATGAAATGATGAGCTAACTAGGGATTCTTGAAGTATGTTTTAGTAATTTTTAATGAAGTATAAATGTCTGAAATCAGACAACGGACAGACACTTCAAGTGTTAATTTTGTACTATCTTTAACACCCAAATAGACACATCAATTTCAGAAAGTTAAAAAGTGATTAATGTAGTTAAAATATACAAAGCAAACTCTAAAACTTAGATTATTTATCTATATCTATTTTAACTATTAAAGTGAGGGCATATTATTTTTATATGCTAACACTGTGTGTTAAAAGCAGATATCTTGGATTTATCAATAGCATATGAGAAAAACATTAGTTTTTCATAGGAACTTTACTGTGACCTTATATTTAAAATAGGGACTCTGTCTTTTATACTACTGCTTAATACAGATATCTTAGCAATCTCATGGAAGGGAGTGCTTTACCATCAGCCCTCCCGGGGACTGATGAGGGAGTATTAAACACATAAAGGATAAATGAATGAGACTTCATTCATTCACACTTTAGAAGCACTTGCCACATGGAAAGTGCTATGCAAGGCTCTGGGAGTAGAGCACAAAAGATGAGATAGAAACAGTCCTCTTCACAGGGAGTTTACATTTCTCCCAGTCAGGGAGAAGGAGACATACTTATAACAACTATTAGTAAGTGCTGTGTGTTCAATGTTGTGCTTGATGTATAGAGGGGAGATTTACACATTCCCTCTACTGCATTTGGTTAGGGAAGAAAGATGAAGTGTTTGGAAGAGATCATACTGAGGTCCAGGAAAACTTTTCTTGAATGTGTCTGGCCCTCACCACCACTGTTTGGTTTATAGTCTATAAGACTGAGTTTGCCGTCATTACTGCATTACCGTTTTGTGAGAGCATTTGATACATGCGTTTCAGATATCACACAGCTAAATACAAATATATAAATCTGAAGAGTTTTCTCTAAGATAGGTCTTCGAAGTTATGTATTTTTATACTGTGATTCCCTTTTAAGAACAATAAGATGAGATTCAGTAAATTGAAATCTAAAGTGATCAGGTGATGCTGTGAAAGCAGGGATTAGTATTATATTAGTTTAGGAAGGCTCCGTGTATCTGGAGGTCTGTCTTCAGGAACTCTCATCCCACAGATCGCAGCTACCATCCAGAAGGAAGCAAAGAAGAAAATATCAGATCGAGATTACGTGATGTATTTAGTAGGAGCCACCTTCAAACTCTTATCCCAGGGCCATATTGACTTAGATATATTTGCACCCTGAGAGTTATCTGATTTCCTAACTGACTGCAGGGCAGCTAGGGCAGGAGGTTGGGAGAGGTGCTGTCAGTGCTTAGGCCGGACAGCTCAGCCTTAGCAAGGAGGGAACGAGAAACCCAAGGGGCTGGGATTGCTGAGCATGATAGCAAATGGCTTTACACATCCATGTATATTCTCATTCACACCATAATGTCCATATTTATGACCCCAAGTTGTTGAAGAAAGGCTTCCGCTTTGGTGGACTAATTAAAGCAAAAGAGGAAGTGCATTTTATATTTTTTAGACAGATTTACCTAAAATTTTAAAGTTAAAATGTAGTCATCTAGAAAATTCACTGCTATGAATGCCTCATTTCCTATTAATGCTGGATTCATTCTAAGGGGGTAATCGAAAGAGCATAGAGTTTAGATCCTAACTGTTTTAAATCATAATGTTGTCATTTATTACCAGCTTTATGACCTTGGGCAACCTTTCTGAGCCTGTTTTCTAATCAGGCTTGATATCCCTTGGAGGTTAAAATGAGGGTTAAAATAGATAATGAATATATGGGGCCTCGTGTAATGTGTTCCAGACATATTAGGCCCTTGATAAATGATAGCTATTACTAGTATTATTCAATAGAAGAGTGATTAAAATTATACCATTAATCAGACTTTGTATTAATCTACTTTTAATTCAACACACTTTATAAAAAGTTCTTGATCCTCAACCTTGTAAAAAATGTCAGATCCAGCACTAACATGTTAGAGTTGGAAAAACCAGAGTTCAGAGAGGTAAGCTCCTTTGCTCAAGAAGACAGAGAGTTAGCAACAGAACCAGTAATTGAACCCAAAACTCCTGAGGGTAGGCACGGTTTTCTGTTTGTTCATATTTACATGACAGTCAAACCTTTTTGCCTTAGACTTCATTCTTTATGTCTTTTATTTTTGAGGGTTAAAGATGTAGTTCCTGCCAAAAAAGATTTTTCTCCAATTTGTTACTATCTTATTTTAGTTTGTGCCAAAATTGTCCCGGCAATTGGGAAAATAATTCATTATGTATACGTTTATCTTTTCAAAGAGACTTAGTTCATTGTGATGTCTAAAGTATATTCTACTTTTACACTTTCTATTTACTTAGCATTCATAGCCCAAATCCTATAGTAATTTTAAAGCACATTCCTATAAATAATAAACCTGAGACATCACATCATTATTATGGTAAAAGGAATAATGGACACATTCATCTGGAAAAGTAAAGACTAAGGCACAGTGTGGTTAGTTGCTGAGGCTCTGTGAGAAGACATCCAGTGAAAAGCAGGACAAGGGAACAAACGTTTAGCTCATAGTTGTCCCACCCACCTGCAGTTTAATAGATGATGATTTGGATTTGAGGAAAACTAAAAATATTTATTAGCAGATCAAATTTAAAGGAGATATAGGAGAGAAGAGATTTGTAACTTTCCTCTGATGGACTGTGATTCTTAGAATAAAAGGAAGCAACAATTTTCCCAGTGTGGAGGATTTTAGTTCTTTGTTGACTTGAGCTGCTTTCAAATCACTGACCCAAATATTAGTGTCTCTAAGCTTTTATTACCAACTACCACCTCCCTCAAGCTACCGCCTAGTAAATTTTAAGGGTTTAGCCTCAATGTTCTATTTTACATTCATGGAATTTGAGTAGCTAAATCTGCATGTAGCTTGCAGACAGTTTCCTCTCTCCCTTATTATAGTTGGCTGCTAAGCTCAAATAATAAACATTTAACAAGTGGAATGCCTTTTCCCTTTGGTCTTCTCAGCAGGCTTCATAAGGGACTACAGTTTATTTGAATTTAAGGGAACCGACTTCCATAGGATTCAGTAGTGGGCCTTTTCAGGATTGGTCATCATCACTGACTTTTTCCCTTTTGAGGAAAGAAGAGAAAATTATTTTAGCAAGCACTTTCTCTGCTCTCTGAATAAAATTATTTATAATGTACCCTAATAATGCATGTG